TCTTTGTCCCACTTCTGGGGGTTCCTGGGGTCCCCTTGGAAGTGTAGGGTGCACTTAAGGCTTCTGGAGACAGTGGGCAGGTGACATTCTGTCGTTGTCATGCAAGCTTCAGCTCCCGTTATTGGTGGTGGCTGGAGTGAGTTTAAACCCCTGGAGGGTGGGGGTGCTCCCTCACAGGGCCCTGATAGAGAACAAGCTCTGTGGACTCACAACAGGTCGAAGCCGTGCCCTGGTGGGGACCAGCTCGGAGACCCATTTTTCTCATTTGAAAGAAAAGTGAAAGGTTTCTCAGGTTATTGGGGAACAGAGGTCTTTTGTGGGGGATTCGAGACAGGGTTTCTCTGTGGCTTTGGAGGCTGTCCTGGAACTAGCTCTTGTAGACCAGGCTGGTCTCGAACTCACAGAGATCCACCTGCCTCTGCCTCCCGACTGCTGGGATTAAAGGCTTGCGACACCACCGCCCGGCTTACAGAGGTCCTTTTTATTACTATTGCTGTTGCTATTGGGTATACAGCACAGGTGGAGGCCAGAGGTTGACATTCTCCCTGATAGGCTGTCTCACTGAACATGGTTGCTCGATGACTGGCTACAGTGACTGGCTGCCAGACTCTCAGGATCCACCTGTCTCTGCCCCCTTAGCACACAGGTGCACACCACCAAACCCAGGTTTTACATGAGTGCTGGAGATCCAAACTCACTTTACACCCCAAGAGGCCTCCCAAGCCATTTGGCCTCTGCTTCTGAATGAGGATAATATGTTTTCCTTATCCATCTGCGTGCCTCAGTTTCCTGGGCCTTCACGAGTTGCTGCTTCTGGTTTTCCTTAGGGAAGGCGAAGGGCGACTGCTCTTTCCCTCCCAAGGCTCTGTAGAAGCTGTGCTAGAAGCTGTGCGTTCAGCAGGTTGTTTGAAAGCCTTTGATGCCAAGCGTATTAAGCAGAGACAAAAGGACAAGTGCTGTGGGGTTGTGCTTGTGAAGATACCTAGAGTGTGTCATTGCATAGACAGAAGACAGGAGAGGTTTCCAGGGCTGGCAGACTGGAAAGGGCTGCTGTTTAAAGTGGGAATCAGCTTCAGTTTGGAATGATAAACAGGTTCCTGTGAAGGGTGATGTGGTGATGGCTTCACAGCTGGGTCACTGACCTTCATGCCACTGGGCTGTGCACTTAAAAAAAATGCTTACCATGGGAAGTTTTATGTTGTGCATATTTTACCACCCTAAACAATTTTATTTTGAAAGAGAAAACTAAAATGCCCAAAGGAGCTTTCCCCCACTCATCACCCATCCCTCTCAGATTCCTAATCCCATTATTTTTGTCCTTCACTTGTTGGTTTAATTTACTTGGGGAGGAGGAAGCTGTTCACCACAGAGTTACTAATTCGTTGGAAATGATAATGCACCTGTGAGATAAAAATGATTATATGTTGAGGAATAGCACTTATTGATAATTAAGTGTTTCATTGCTTCTTTGCTTCCCCAAATGGAATAAATAAATATTTTAGACATAATCAAGTTTGTTTTCTCTATTCAGGCCAAACAGACAGGGATGTTGAAGATATATAGATGCTAAAAATGCTGCCAATGAGTCTTGACACCACTAAACTGTGATGTATCCAAGGTGCAGAGGCTTCAATCCAGGCTGTCTTCTGTTAGTCAGGAAAACTTTTTTTATTTTGTTTTCATTTTTTTGTGTTATGGCTGTTTTTACATCACTTGTGGGCAGTGATGAATCCAGACAAGAGCGCCAGGTTCCCTGGAACTGACGTTACAGATGGTTGTGAGCCATCCATCGTGAGGGTTCTGGGAATTGAACCCAGATCCTCTGGAAGAGCAACAACTACTCTTAAGCACTGAGCCATCTCTTCAGCCCAGGATAATCATTTTTGTGATACATTAGTATCAAGGCCTGTGGGGCTAGAGATGAAGGACAGTCAAGCAAAGTGCAGAGTCAGAAGCCAAAATTGTGCCAAGAGCCGTCTGCTCCCTGACAGCCATGTGCACTTTAAACCCCACTTCCTAGCTGGTTGCCTCCTTCGTGTCTGCCTGGTGGCCCAGCACAGGTCTCAGCAATCGAGACCTGGAGCAGTGACTTCCATGGTGGACCAAGGGCTTAAGTGGGTACACAGATGTAACTTGAGCGGAAGAGCTCTACCCTTGTCCCTGTTCTGTTGAGTATGAATACGCTGGGGCCACTAGGGGCTTCCAAACCTTTGGCCACCCTCTAACTCCTGGAGTTTCACTGGTTCCACCGTCCTTCCTAATAGTTTGCTTGGTTCTGCTCATCCACCCACATTCTCAAGCCTCTGTCCAGAGCACTGATTAGTGAGTCTGCAACCTGGTTGGAGGAGGTATATGGTCCCCTTCTGCAGAGACAGCAGGAGCCTGTCCCCTCACTGTATGAGTGTCCTGTGATTGCCGTGACAAATTATCGAACGCTCCAGTCAGTTGTCTCACTGTGCTGTAGGTGGGGCTGCACTCCCTCCCCAGTGGTAGGTGACAGTCTGTTGGCATGTGGTACTTGGTTGTGACTGTATCACTTGTACCATACCTGCCTTTGCCCTCCCATGACCTTTGTTCTGTGTCTCTTTCCATTTCCCACCTCTTATGAGATCATAAGATGGGAGATGGAACAGCTCCAGCTGTTCAGCTAGGAGCTCTCCTTAAACCTAGGATCCTTAATCACATTTGCAAAACCACTTTTTTCCAGGGATCAGGGTGTAGGTATACATTTGAAGGGTCACTATTCAACCCTCTACAGTCACTCCAACTGAGCAATGAGGTAAAACAAAAACAAACAAACAAAAAACACAAAACAACATTAACAAAAACTCTAGCTCATTTGGGCTTGTTTTATTTGCAAGGTGCTGAGGTGGGCCCAGGCCAGAGGGATTTGTTTCCCAGGCATATGTGATCCATAAGTTGGAAGCAAGGGATATGAGGTAGGGAACTACAGGCTGAGGAAAAGGTGACACCCAGAGAGGAGTCAGGAAGCTCTGTAGGACACAGCTGGGAAGTATGAGCCTTCATTTTAGACAGCCCCTGTGTGGTGTCTGCTTCAGGCCTCGGGTTACTGAGGACACAACTTTAACCCAGTGGTGCCGAGAAAACATCTCAGTTTGGGCCCCCTCAGAAGATAATTGTGCCCTCTTTAGAACGTGTCAGACACCCTGCCTCACCTGTCTGCAATGGTCCAGGCTGTGTGTACTATGTGGAAACATCAGTTCAGTGTTTGGTACCTGGTGACAAATGGCACCGCCTGAAGATCATGATTTTGCATTTGTGAGGTAGCCCCAGCCCTCTGTTTCACTGGAGGTTGTTTGAGAGTGGAGAGCCACCTTCTTTCCTGAAGACTCTTCTAAAGCCTGTTGTGGAAACCGTGAGGTAAAAACTCAGTGCGTCAGCTCTGTTTCCCTGTGGTAGTCCCCTGCAGGTGGTGGTGATAGAGGTGGTTATGTGAGCCAGAGGGGACTCTAGAGATTCTCTTTCTACCTTGGGTGGCTGAGCCCCAGAACAGACACAGAAGCTGGAATGGGCTATGTCTGCCTCTTAGTCGTTGGTAGAAAGCGCTGATAATCATACTATAAAACCAGCCAGTTGGATTTTGTCTCCCTGTGCGTCACATTAGGCCTGTTTGCATCTTTGGGGATCAGGAAATGCCGTAGTTTGTAAACAACAGACCTCTTACAGTTCTGGAAGCAAGAAGTCAGAGTCCTGGTGCCAGCATGGTCAGCCCTGGGAATGGCTCCTCTACAAGCTTACAGAAAGACTCTTTATTGTAGCCTGACTGGGCAGGAGAGGGGAAAAGCAAACTATCTGGAATTTCTATAAGAAACCCACTCTGGAGGGTTTCTTTCCCATAACCAGATACACCACTTCACCTCCTAAAGACACACACACACACACACACACACACACACACACACACACAC